TCCGGAGACGTGGAGCTTCACTATAACCCATAAAGAGTTCTGTTTATATTATCATATCCCCTCTCTGTCAGCACTGCTTTTGCAAAAATGTAGATAAAAAAAATCCCCATTAAATTTGATTCATGCCACTGTTTAAACAAAATGTTCAAACTAGTGCTGTCAGCGTTAATCTCGCTAAAATGATGTTAACGCCATGACCGCATTAACGTGGCAAATCTCCGTTGGCGAGTTAACACAGATCGCCCCTGTGCGTGAGGCTGCACGTGTTAACAAGCTAACCGCACAAACGAGTTGGCGTCGTGCAGCCCCACGCGCGGGGCGATCCATGTTAACTCGCCAACGGAGATTTGCCGCGTTAATGCGGTCATGGCGTTAATGTGACTTTAATGAGACAGCACTGCACATGAAGGCAAATACAGAAGTCACTGAAAAAATGATCATTTGCATTAATTTGTAAAGCTCATCACAAACACACAGACACCTTTTAATTAGCGCTACTCTCCAAAGTCCAAGCACAGATTTCTTTGATGGACTCTTTCTCACAGCACGGCTTATTATTTGTTAGATCATTCTACCGAAACTTATTTCAGAGCACTTATTAATTAATTAGCAATTAATAATCATGGAATCACGCTGTGTAGGTACACCTTTCATGTTTGTTTTTAAATCTGTTGCTTTTATTTTTTACTCTAGTTACTCATGTTGTGTGTGGTTCTCCAGCTGCACCGCAGCACACAGAAAGGCACTCCAGAGGGTCATCAATATGGCCCAAAAAATCATTGGACATCCTCTTCCCTCCCTGAAGGACCTGTACAGCACTCGCTGTCTCAAGAGGGCACGCAGCATCCTGCAGGACTGCACACACCCAGGACACCGGGTGTTTAAGCTGCTGCCATCTGGCAGGAGGTTCAGGCTGCTGAGGTCCTGAACAAACAGACTCAAGGACAGCTTTTACAACAGGACAACAGCCCTGATCAATGCTAACAGCTGACCTGACTGGCTACCTCCCTGGACTTTTTTTGGGGGGGTTAACAACGGTAAAAACAATAACAATAATAATATTAATATTTATAACAAGGTGCAATAATGATTAATGTGCAATAATAACAGTGCGCAATACAAATACACTTATTCTTCTTTTTTATTACTAAGTTAATATACTGTGTTGTGTTATATGTAGTGCCGATGTAGGACAGTTTTCCAATTTCATTGTACTATTGTAC